GGTTCTGGCTATTAAACTACTCAATGTTTGCTAATTTACTTGTTTCGTTATTAATACGATTCACACCCTTTGTAAATCTTTATTTGAGTGAACATCCTGTGTAAAACTATTTTAGCAACAGTTATCTGCACATGGCCGTCCCTAATCTTGAACTGATAGCCTGGAGGGAAGTCAAATGCTCAACAGCGCCCACCGCCGTCTCTTGGGTTACTCGTGTCTGATCGTATAGTAGGATTTGACTGTTACCCTTATAATACCGTTAGGTCCCTAAATTGCGGAGCACGTTTTCGTAGCAATGGGTCGCGTACCACAAATCCTTGGACTCATAGTACGAGCACACTAAGAACTAGGCCACGAACAGCTCTTCGGATTGGAAGTTAGCTAAAATGTTTTGTTGGGCGTGTGTGTTATAGATATGTTAACGGGATCATCCTTTGAAGATTAAAATTCTATATTACAGCATTTTTCTTACAGTCTTCCACAGTCGAACAATGACTGAAAAAGCACTAAGCCCATGAGGAACCAGGTTTCAACGTTTTAGTTTTACTGTTTACTAAAATTCTACATTACAGCATTTTGCTTACAGTCGAACAATGTCTGAAAAAGCACTAAGCCCATGAGGAACCAGGTTTCAACGTTTTAGTTTTACTGTTTACTAAAATTCTACATTACAGCATTTTGCTTACAGTCGAACAATGTCTGAAAAAGCATTAAGCCCATGAGGAACCAGGTTTCAACGTTTTATTTTTACTATCTTTGGTAAAACACTTAAATAACACGCTATAACACGCAATAGTTGTTCGTCCTTTGGCTACATAAAAGTTCAGTTAATTTATTTCTTCCTATTTCATCTTTAACTTGTGGTTTCTAATCTTTTATAGAAATGCTTTCCCTAATGAATCTGTGCTATATTTTGTTCTGCCGTCCTTGTCTGTTTCGCATTCCTTCTTTACCACTATCTAAATTGTTCCGAAAACACCAGGATGGTCGATAGCTCATCAGACTTTTTTTTGTCTGTGAATCTTATGAAATTTCTCGTACTTATATTCATGAGTAGAATCAGAACTATCCTTTGCATGGACTTTCTTCCCAGGCCTTCATCGAATGTGTTTTGGTATCTAAACTTTCGTGCAATTACACGATTTTCCTCTTCTTGCGTTTCAGCTAAATGCAATTTTTTCTCTCACAAGGGATTTTCTCTAGTTTTGCGCATTTCCCTGAAGAAACAGCTTCTTCTCTGTTTTTTTTTCTGTTGTTGTTATCAGCCTTTGGGAAGACTTTCAAAGTCCGTACATTATTTTTTTCTCGATATATATATATTTATAGACAGCGATGTTTTAGGCTAAACGTTGTACATGTATTGGTGTTCTCGATGCTGCTTTAATTCATCATAAAAAATTTTTTAAAATTTCGAACAAAAAATTGTAAACTATACAATGAAAAACTTGTTATTCAGTTAAGAAAAAAATAACTGAAATACTGGGCAAAGCAACTACAGAGAAAATTAAATGAGAAAAAAACCTTTTTATTAGTTAGATAAAGCTTTCTTTCTAACGAATTCCTAAAAATATATTACGCAAAGAAATCTAACAAATTCTTTTTTTGCCGCCTATAGTTATCCCTCTTCTTCATCGGCCTCTTTCTAGGCAGATAAGTATTTAATTAATATAACTCATCTAAACATTCACATTCAAATTTTATAAATACTAGGTAATTACATACATATAAAAAGCAAATTGATATTAATAACCAAAAATGCAGTAAAAAAGTAATTAGTTATATGATTATCGAAAGATCTCATTGATTGTTTATTTTTTACACACACACTTTTCAAAACTATTCATGCACCTCATAAACATAACTCAATATGACACAACACATAGATCCCATCAGTTTGTTTGTTTCAAGTTAAGTTACATAATGGGCTATCTGTGCTCTTCCCACCACGGATATCGAAACCTGGTTTCTAGCGTTGTAAGTCCGCAGACATACTGTTGTGCTACTGGGGGGGGGGATCCCATCAGCAGTGAATATAAACAAGTTAGTAGTTTGCGGATAATTCTCGATGGGCAACGGTAAGTCTACTGACTTACGATGCTAAAATTCAGGGTTCGATTACCCGCAGTAATAAAGCAGATAGCCCAATATGGCTTTATTCTGAAACAAATAAAATTTTCGGGAAAATGACATATAAAATACAACAATTTACGTGATAGGAGTAGAAGCAAGGTCGCCTTAGATTACATGTAAAACTTTTCATGTTGTGTCAAATAATAGTTATTTAAAACACATTTAATGTTTTGCTTTTGCAGTTCGCAACCAACTATTTTATATCTCAGTTTATTACTGCACTAAATCAGCTTTCAAGTTAAAAAAACAACACAAATCATTATAAAGATAAAAAACACGTCGAAGCATTTTTTCTATAGCGTTTTTCACTTAGTACACAAAGTCCTTCGATTAATTTTAGCCGCCATTTGGAGCTAATTTTACGAATCGTTAGCACAGAAACCTCGATAACGAGACTTAGCAACAATTCAACAGGCTCATTCGACTATATGTAGTCGTTTTTAGAAATACGTTTTATTTTACGAATATTAAAAATAGAAATAAAATTAAACCCTTTTTATGTAGCTTTTATGTAGTGAGTCTGAAACTTGAAAGACTGTTGATCTCAAGTCTGTTAGGGTGCTTTTATTCGTTCAGAATTAAAGGAACAAAAAAATGCTTAAAAACAACTGAAAAGCGATGAAATGTAGCATGGAGGGCGTTTAATTTAAACAGGGATGAATAATAAAGTATAAAGCCTTTAGAAATTAGTATTAATATATCTACTGATCTCGTAATTACCTCAGAAAAAAATGTTCATTGAGTTTCTGTGTAAGTTTTGGTTACAGCTAGTACGTACAAGTTATCATTGAAATAAACAAACTTAGTTAGATCAAGTGTTACCGATGATGATTAAACCATATTTATGTGATGTTACTAACAGCTTTGAGGTATGAGCTCCTTTATCAATGATTTGAAAGGATAAACACCTATTTAACGGTTTGCAGATGTAAACTCGTTTATTAACAGCGTGCTAGGATTCAAGAGCCTCTTTATCAAAGGCCTAAAAGGATAAGCCCCTTTGTAATGGCTGTAATTTTCTTTATTAACAGTTTGGAAACGTGAGACCCTTTATGAACGACTTGAAAAGATAAGCCTCTTTTAAACGGCTTGGTGATATAAATTCGTTTACTAACTAACAGCCTCCTTTGTGGTATGAGCCTCTTTGTCAAAGGCACAAAAGGATAAATCCATTTGTAATGTTTTAGTAGTAAATAAACTTCCTTACTAATGGCTTGGAGGCATGAGTACTTTTATCTATTTTAATAAATATGTGAACATTTGTTAAAACTTGGAGACACAAAAACCTTTATTAACGGCTTTGGAGACACAAATATCTTTGTTAACATCTTGGAGACATAAGTTTCTTGTTTAACAGACTTTGAAACACGAGTTACAACGACTTGGAAACGTGCCTCCGACTTGGATTACAGATACAGCAATGGGACCCTTACTCTTCATTTTATGCCCTAATTAAAAGATCTGCTTACAGTAATAAGAAAGCTTCTTTTCTGCTCTTGGTATAATGCAGCATTAAACAAATGAATGTTTTTGTGCTCGATAAAATGCCTTCATGTATACATACACGTAATATTGACTTTCAGTGAAGGAATAACAATTTACGGCATAATGCAATGTGCAACTTTAAAGTAGTCCAGATAGAAACTAATGGTAGCCCAAAGAAAATGTACGAAATTGAAGAGGCCAACATTCGTGAGCGAATGCAACACGTCTCCACCACACAATCCCAACATGGCCAATTTTGACACCCGAAAAGTTCGAAAACTGTCTATATCACCGCCTGGGACCTGCAAGAAGGTTGACATAACACATTAATAGTTTACGAAAATCTAAAGTTGTGCTTTCCTCGCTGAAAAAATTGAACAAAAGACAAAAATTCCAAAATTTTCTATATCTCTGTAAAAACGTATTTTTGTACCAAATATTATGTAAATTGGCTGAAATACGGCAGAGTAATTGTAAAAAAAACACACTAAAATTCTGCTTTTGGTGGTATTTTGACCTCCCAGTAATTACTAAAAAATGAGCAAGTCCATCATATTTGTTTTTCAGTATGTGGGACCTGTAGAAAAGTATCTTTGTACCAAATCACATGTAAATTGGTCAAAGTACTGTCGAATAATTGACCAAAACCCCAAAAATGTCTTTTTGTGAGCTCTGACTCACCTAAAAAGAATCAAAACGGGTAAATTCAACTTCTTGTATGTCAATGTGTTTGGCGCATGAAAATATATATTTATGACAATTTTCATCTTGATTGCTGTAAATATGACCGCATAGGAGCCCAAAATATACATTTTGGGGTTTTATGACCTTCGATCCCATAAAATCTTTAAAAAGTCCTAAATATAAAAAATGAGAAAGATGACTGAGTGTATTGGACAAAGGTGTAGCCCTACCAAGTTTCAAGTCAATCCGCCGAGAAATGAGAAAATGACGGTCGAGTGGAAAGTGTTTGGAAGAATAAGAAACAGTACGTCTCTCTGTGGAGACATAATTATAGTTTTGGGAGGAAATTGTAAATTATATATAGTTATGAGTATCACAAGTGATGATTAATTTATTAGTGTTAAACAATTCAGCTTTAGATTATGGAATTGAAAATACTAGCGCTAATTATAATTACAGGGTAAATAAACATGTTATTAATTATGAAATGTCCCCTAAAGTTTCGAGTGTAAGATACCCTAATTTTAAACGTAAAGTCTCGATCATTAATCCAAATCTTTATGGGTATATATCTATAAAGACAATGTCACATCTAAACCTATCTTGCGTGTAAGGCTTTTTAAGATTACACACGTATATGCGTGAGGGGTAAATGTTAGTGTCCATACAGTTAATTAGAGTTATGCAACACGCGCACTTGCTCAGTACCTTTCCGTTTGCCCCGCGTGCAGTGGATAAATACCAAGGTAGTGCCACCACACTCCAGTCACAAGGAATAACGTTCATCACTTCACACGTCGTCAATGATTACTTCTCGTGCCACGTGAAGCTGGGCGGAATGAATCTACAAAGAACGTTCCAGTGCGCTTTGCTCCAATCTCGATGGGTGTTCTTTCTTCTCCAGATAATATCTTTATTCAGAGTTGGAGCGCCCACAGGTAAGCCTAATATACGTAGTCTATCAGTATACTCTATTAGCTGTTTGTTCTTCTTTTTGCACAGCTCAAATCTTACTAGTTTGATACAAAGTAGATGCGTTACTAACCTTATCATAGAAAAATGTAATTTATTTGTTTAATAACTCACATTTCCCAAACTATCAAGAGCTTACTCAATGTTCATTTTGGTGATTTTTATTGATTTTGACATTTCATTAGAAGATCCAACTAAGGCTCTAGAGACAAAACTTTTACATTGAAATGTTAACATTTGTTTAGGCAACATTATATTTTCATAACTTCCATAACACCTTAGTAGCTGAAAAATGTATTTGTATAGAGCATTATTTTTTTTTTTGAAAACGTTTCGCTTTGAAATTGCTTTTTAGGCTCGAAGTAATTTTTTCAAGGTACATAATTTTTTGCATTTCGCATGTATATCTTAAAGCTTGTTAAACAGCACCTGACCTTTATTACATCAATGATATAAATGAAGGAATAGTTAATAAATTACTTAAATTTGCAGATGATATTAAGGTATTGGGTATTGCTAGCTGTGGATAGGATGCTGCTGATTTACAAAAAAATTTAGATCATTTAGTGAGGTGGGTAAATGAATGGCAGATGGGTTTTAATTATAATAAATGCAAGATAATGAATGTGGGTTATCATAATTTGAACTATAATTATATAGTTTGAATGTGAATAATCTTAACAGTGTCATGAAAGAAAGGGATCTTTGTGTAATCTTTGTTGATCAGTCTCTAAATCCATCCAAGCATTGTGCTGTTGCTAGTGGCAGGACAAATATTATTTTAGGTTGCATCTACAGAAATATTGAATACAAGTCTATATAGGTTATAATTTCATTTGTACAGGTCACTGGTTAGGCCACATTTGGAATATTGTGTTTAGTATTGGGCTCCTTACCTTAGGAAGGACATTTAGTTGTTGGAAAAAGTTCAGAGAAGGATTACTAGAATGATGCCTGAGATGGAGGGGTTGTCATACGAGGCTGATATCTCTCATACTGTTTTCTCTTGAAAAAAGAAGAGATAAGGGGGATCTGATTGAGGTGTTTAAGATTGTAAAGGGATTTGATAGTGTTGATGAATAATCTTTTTTCATACTTAACAGTGAGAATATTAGGACTAGGGGACACAAATGTAGATTCTGGTAAGGTAGGAGTCATCTTCAGCTCAGACAGTTTCATTTTTCAAACAGGGTGGTTGGCCTTTGGAATAGGTTGCCTTCGGATGTTGTAGAGGCAGTAAATTTAAGTGAGTTTAAGAAAAAAGCTTGATAAGTATAGGAATGATAAGGGCTGGGCTTTAAGATTTAAAACAGTATTCTAATTTAGTTTAGAGAATGGAACAGTCGAGATGGACCAATAGGTCCCATATTGTCCCAAAACATTATCGTATGTTAATATTATAAGTTTATCTCATTTTCAGTGTTCTGGCATGGCCTGACAATGAGGTTGTTCGACTCTCAATCCGCAGGTCGCGGATTCGAATCACCGTGAGAGTGTTATAATGTGAATGTCACAGGTAAAAGAATAGCTCAAGATTTGGCGGTGTGTGGTGTGCTTTACGCGAAATTCTAAACAAACCAAATTCGTTCCTATTCTGTGTTTTTTTTATGCTTACTTCTTGTATCAGCCAGTCTGAAACGTTATTAATGATTAACTGAACAAGTAAAACAGTCTTCATGCAAACGTCAATTACAAAGAAAACTTGTTTTATATGTATGAGTCTATATATTGGTAGTATCCCAGGCAATAAAGCGACCGTAGTAAAACTTGTTTTATATGTATGAGTCTGTATTCTAGTAGTATCCCAGACAATAAAGCGACCGTAGTGAAACTTGTTTTATATGTATGAGTTTATATTTTGGTAGTATCCCAGGCAGTAAAGCGACCGCAGAAAAACTTGTTTTATATGTATGAGTCTATATATTGGTAGTATACCAGGCAGTAAAGCGACCGTAGTAGAAAGAGGGCAAGAAATCGTTGACGTTCACAAGCAGGATTTAAACGTCGAAAATGTTCTAATCTTATACTATAAAGCGATTAAAAACCCTCTCTGATTTACTTTGAAACATATGTTCCTGCAAGAATGTTTCAAAACTGATTCGCGAGAATTGACCTTCCGTGGGTATGGTTTCATTTGTAAAGTAAATCTTACAATGGAAGTTCACGAGTAAACCAGACAGTTTTACTGTACCAACAAGGCAACATCGAAACGCCATGTCAAATTATCTTCTTCTGCTCTTCTGTAACTGCAATTTCAGTTTTCTCTTGCGTTATTTCTCGGACGATGACGTTAAATGTAAAATGCATAAAAGAACTTTTGTACACGTAAGTAATATGCGTAAAATTATCTAAGAGAGAGAGAGTGTGTGTGTGTTTTCTTATAGCAAGCCACATTGGGCTATCTGCTGTATCCACCGAAGGGAATCGAACTCCTGATTTGAGCGTTCAAAATCCGAAGACTTACCGCTGTCCATTATCTAAGATAATTTTTCTATGCAAAGTTGTATTGCTACACATCTGACGTATTATGATGCATTTCAAAACAAATCGTTTAATTTACGTACATGCATTGCAAAATACGTGCGCATTTATTAAATAGCATAGTTTTGCTGAAGTACCTATTTGTAGTTATTGTACTGCAAATGACATTGATTGCTTTAGATTAAGCATGAAATGATTGTTACTTGCTTAACAGTGGGAAAGAAATGACTTGGTAATGCTTCTTATATCCTCATAATAAAACCGTTTTTAAATAACACTAAAATTCAGTATTTGATCCCTGTGGTGGGCTTAACTCGGGTAACCCAATGTGCATCTTTGTGCCTAAAAAAATTATATTGTAATTAAACTCAAGCAATCTTTCTCTATGATAACAAATATCGTAAGCTAATATTAATCGTTAGTAGGAATTCGACAGCATAGTAAAAATCTTACAGTATAAGATACATACATATACAGACACGCATGCACACATAGATGAGATCCTCACGCACGCCGACACACACACACACACAGATAATACCCACACTCACACTCAGAAATACCGACGCACACGCACATACAGACACGCATACACGTACGCACACGAGTACACATATATATACACATCCTTTATATATACCGATAGCTGATCGTCAGCTTTCTAAATTATAACTCTATATAAATAATTCCCTAACAAAAAACAGTTCCTTTATATAGTTCATAATTCGACACTCTAAAAATTTGCTGTATTTTGTTCTTATGAACATGAAGCAGAGCTATGAGTGGTCAGACGTCACCTTGGATTCATAAATCACATTGTTATCAAACACAAATTGAGTTTTTTTTATCGTTTCCAAATATCTTCATTTGTCTGCAGACTTATTTGAATTTTGTTTGTTTGTAATTAAGCACAAAGTTACACAAGTGCTCTGCCCACCACGGGTATCGAAACCCGGATTCTAGTGTTATAAGTCCGCAGACATACCGCTGTGCTACTTGGGGGGGATTTGTTTGTAATCATTTGTCTTTTATTAAGACTACCTAGTCATGAAGTGAAAGTTTCCGTATACACGTATTCCTTAAACGTACTGAAACGTGTTCGAAAAGTTTTTGCCCGGTATGGCCACGTGGTTAGGGCGCTCGACTCGCAACCTGAGGGTCCCGGGTTCGAATCCCCATCCTACCAAACATGCTCGACTTTTCAGCCGTGGGGACGTTATAATGTGACGGTCAATCCCACTATTCGTTGCTAAAAGAGTAGCCCAAGAGTTGGCGGTGGGTAGTGATGACTAGCTACCTTTCCTCTGGTCTTTCACTGCTAAATTTAGGAACGACTAGCGCAGATAGCCCTCGTGTAGTTTTGCGCAAAATTCAAAAATAAACAAACCAAAAGTTTTTCAGTTGTTTCCCCTGTTGATATTATTTAACAATTCTATAATTCTGCAAATGTATATCAAAAATGATGCTAAGTTCCGCGCGTCCAAATACAGAAGATCATAAAATTACGTAATCTTTTTTTCTTACCCAATAACAAAATGAAAACGACAATTATCACTTTTACAAAATCACCACTCTACTAAAATAAAACGAAACAGCTAAGTTCGTAATTCCTATTAAATCATTACTCACCAAAAGTAGGCCGTTTAAGCGTTAAAACGTTTGTTATTATGGAAAATGCAAACAAAACAATCCAAATTTTATAATAATAATTAAATAATAAAGCAGTCAAACGGTTTACATATATAATAATATATTCATAAATAACACGCGATAAATTTTAACAAACCTCTTGTGTTTACAATTATAACAGTTATGCGAAATCTAGACATAATAACTAGTTCTACTGATAAATAGTTCACAAAAAGAGTTAGACAGTCATATCATGTCAAAGCAGGTATAATTTAATTCATTGAAATGAGCTTCGTTTATTCTTAATCTTAATCTTAATTAATTTCGTGTATGAGTATCGTCACGTGCTCAGAATGAATTCGTCTTTCAAAATCTGCCGTTTTCATTCTTGCCTAGAGTGAGTTTTTTTATCTATTGATGATTTTCTCTCAATCTCTGAATAAGCAGACTCAACTTTTTCCGGTAACATAATAATAATACTAATTTTTATCTTTTCTTATTAATATTCGATGTATTAAAATTTTTTTTTTGACTTTACATGATCGGGATTTTCAGAACGTGAGACAAATAAAGCTTTAGAAAATAAAATGTCTCAGCCTAAAAATAATAATAAAAAAAAACCTCTGTAGTCATATGCTGAAATAATTGAAACTCAGACCATGACATAAAACACGTTACTGGAGATAAGACGGCTAGCGTTTCCTTTATTTTAACGAAGCTTTTAAGAGTACTTGGCTCCATTCAAGGATGAAAAGAAAGCTGCAAAACAAAAGAAAAGTAGAGCTTTTCTATGCTCCTAAATACACATTTAAAAAGGAATAAGAAAAAGTTTGCCTGTTAAAAAATCTCTTTTCGT